TCACTGCTTCTTCTAAGACTACCAAGTAGATATATAAGTCCTATGTTGCTTCCAGCTTAGATAATAAGGGAGGTGATGTAAGATACTTCTTTAGGTCTTGGAAAGTTCTTTCGTACTCACCATCCCATTTGTCTCGTTGTGCCCTCTTAAGAGGAAATAGTTGAGCATGGCTACCTGTCCAATCAAGCTTTGGATCTTGTTCAAGGTAGTTAGAGAATTCATTTCTAGGATTACCCAGATTTTCTTAAGATGTGCTTCAATTCCTCGTTGGGTTACTAGATACCCTAAGAATCTGCATGAAGATACTCCGGATGTGCATTTGGCGGGATTGAGCTTCATCTTATACTTTCTAAGGATATTGAAAGTTTTCGCTAAGTTGCCAATATAGTCTGATCGTTGTTTGCTCTTCACCATGTTGTCGTTGACATAAACCTCCATGGTTACTCCAATTTGCTTTTTGAACATCATGTTTCCCAATCATTGATGAGTGGGTCCCGCATTCTGAAGGCCAAAAAGCATGACTTTGTAATAGTAGGTGCCTCATTCGATCACGAACATGATTTTCTACTTGTCGGGTTCGTGCATGGCTATTTGGTTGTAATCGAGTATGCGTCCAAGAAACTGAGCAACTGATTCTCAAAAGTTGAATGTACTAGTAGATCGATTCAAGGAACTGAATAAGGATCCTTAAGGCATGTTTTGTTTAGTCGATGTAGTCTACGCAAACCCTCCATTTGCCCATCTATTTCTTCATTACTAGCACGATGTTGGAAAGTCGTGCTGAGTGTACTATCTCTTCTATGAACCCGGCCTCCAATATCTTGTTGATTCCGTTTCAATGATCACCACTCGTTAAGGTGCAAAATGTTTTCTATTTTGGACCACCGGTTTAGCGGTCGGGTCGATGTGTAGTTTTTGCCAAGCTATCTTAGGGTTGATGCCAGGCATGTTAGAAGATGGTCCAAAGATGTCACGATTTTCCCTAAAGAAAGTCGTGAGTTCTTTTTTTTTTTTTTTTTCCTTCTGGCTTAAAAATGAGCAAATTCTAGTAGTCTTCTCTAGTTGCTAGGGATCAAGAACGAAGTGTTCAGCGTCCTCTTCGGGTTTTCATCCCATCTCGTTTGTTGTCAAGTTGATTTAGACACCATTTTCTTAATTTGTCTGCTGTAATTACTATTTGGTAGCTTCGTCATCCCTTTGGACCTCGGTAGCCTCTACGAGGGTAAATGTCTTCTTTATTTACTTCTTCAGTACTTGCAGAGTGCATCGTCGAGATGTGGCTTGGTTAGACTTGATTTCTCCAACTCTTTCTCTAAGGATGCGAAATCGAATTTTTTGATACTTGATGGAGCTTACGGCATCCAACTTTATCAACCAAGGTCGCCCTAGAATCCCATTGTAGGGAGACAGGTCGTTTACTATCATGAACATCTGCTTTAAGGCAACTGGCAGTGTTTTCACTTCAAGTGTAATGTTGTCGATGACAGTTGAGGTGTGTCTATTGAATCTAGTAAGTACCTCTGCTAGGTGTATGATTGTGTTTTCCAGGCCCATCTTCCGAATTACCAAGAGCTGAAGTAGGTTAATTGCACTTCTGTTGTCAACCATCATTATGTCGACTAAAGCGTGGGCTAGTTGGATAGATAACACTAGTACATCGTAATATGGGAAGTCGACGTATTCAGCATCTTGCTCAGTGAAGCTAACGATGGGTCTAGGTTGGGTGTTGACTGCCTAGACCTGAGAGACTAATAGAGCATGTGGATCTTTCTCTTCATGGAGTTGTTGATGGCCCCCAAGTGCTCAGATTCAGCGAAGATGCCATTCATCCGAATTTTCTTGGCTGGGAGCTCTTTGTAGGCGTTTGCGCTCCTTCTAGGTTGCGCAGCTAGCTTGTCCAAGTATCTATCAACCTTGCTTTCTTTCACCAGCTTCTTTAGGTAGTTTCTCTAAGTGTAACAGTTGTCGGTTGTGTGACCAAGACCTCGATGGAATGCACAATACTTGGTGTGGTCCAACTTGAATGTATCTCTCTTTGATTTCTTTGGCAGCTTAAAGCATGGTTCGCTCTTGATATCATGGAGGATTTGGTGGATCGGGATCGAGAACTTAGAGCAATTCTTGGGCATCGGGCGTCTTTTAGTCAGGATCGGTCCCTACACTTGGCCTCTTGCCTGTTTTTGTTATTGTAGTGCTTCTTGTCTTCCTTCTTTTAAGCTACTACTGATTCTTTTCGAGGCTGCTCGAGTGCCTCGTCTGCTTATCGAGCCTCGTCCTAAAGTGCATGCTTCTCTGCCAAAGCAAATAAGTCTACCAAAGTTAGATTTTCTTTCATGATCAATTCTTCGAATAACGGATGGCCTGCTAGGAGTATTTTTTTGGAAGGCTGCACTAGCTATCAAGTCGTTGCAACCAAATATCTTTGCCTTTTCTGCTTTAAACCTCTTCACATAGTCATGGATCGACTCTTTTGGGTTATTCCTTACTTTGAGCAAGTGGTCAGACTTCTTTTTGATCGAGCGATAAGATGAAGATTCTTTGGTGAAAACCAAAGAAAGCTCATCGAGACTCCAAATAAATTATGTCAATAGGGTATGGAACCAATCTTGCACCTAGCCTTGTACAATGGTGGCAAATATCTTGCACATGAGGGCGTCGTTGTTCCAATAAAGGATCATTGCGCTGCAGTAGTGCTTTAGGTGCCTATTCGGGTCTCCATCTCCTTTGAATGATGTGAAATGTGGCATGCAAAACTTGCTTGGAGGCTCTGCTTGCTCAATCTCGTCCGTGAAAGGTGACCTGCTTATGCTGGTCATGTCTTTTTGGAATGACTTCGTTGCGCTGAAAGTCGCACAATCATTCAGTTAGAAGCCTTTCTACTCTGAATTTGCCTTTACTGGGGCAGTGGAGCTCTCGACTGCCTTTGGTCATGACCTAGTATTCTAGGTTGCTTTTCTATATTTTCAGTGTGTCTAGGCATGGGCTTACTCTTGGGCCTGGGCTGCTTGCGCCTTTTGGGCCATGCTGGGCTCCCTTATGGCGTAAACCTGGGCTCACTGCTGCAAGGTGGCATGGGCCTGGGCTTGCAGTTACAAGATGACGCCTTCACCATAGGTTTGGGTCTCGCCGTAGACTGCCATTGGCATACCCACGATGATGCCCCGTAGCTATGGTACCGCTCCTCTTGTCGTCGCATTGAGTCTCGTGGATCGTCGTGGTAGGGCTACATCGAGTCCTCCATCATCGCATTGAGCCTCGTGGATCGTCGTGGTAGGGCTACATCAAGTCCTCCATCATTTGATCCAAATCTTTAAACGTAGGAAGTTCTGTTCATCGCGGTTTTTGAATTTCTAGTCATTGTACTTTTCTTTTACGTTTATTCAAAGAACTTTATAAAAATAAAAAATAAAAAAATAAAAAATAAAAAATCTACGAATGAACGAGAAATGAGAAACTTTGAATAAGAGAGTCTTCTTTGAGCGTGTGAATTGCTCTTAATGAAAGCACCAATTTGTGGATGCAAATTTCTGCCATCTTCTCTTTTGACGAAAATGCACTTGCAAAATAATAATACCTAAGATTAAGGTCAAAAAGAATGTGTTTAGGAATTTATGGGTAGCAAATGGTTTAACTTTTTAGTGGGATAATAGGGCCATTTATAGGGGAGTGACCAGCCCTATTTGGAGAATAGTGGCTAGCCATAAATGGTGTAATTGGGTGAATAACTGCAAGATATTATGTGAAATAATATGTTCAATTAACATGACAATTAATCCTAAATTAAATAGGAAATTTGGGAGTTACCTTTTGAATAAGGATTTGATGAGGAGTGATGAGAGGGATTTGAATAAATTCCATTTTGAAACTCTTCCTTGATTGAGCCGTTATTGTCCGTTGCATGAGCGTGGGAATCCCAGTATGCCTTGAGGGTAATTTTGTCTTTTTCACCCAAAAGTCCACATGTCACCTCCATAATTTTCTTGATTATTTTTGGCTCCACAATTACCTTTCTGAGATCCTTCACCCTCATATCCCATTGTTGAAAGAGAAGCGGAATTGGCTATTGTATTAAAAATAAAAACTTGAATTGGGATATAAGGGGTTTGGGAAAGAAGAAAAAAGAAGGGGGGAGCTTTAGGATTTTAGAGAAAACTCAGTGAGGGAAGGGGAGAGTGAATCTGTGTGACGAAGCATTCGTAGCACAAAGCCCACAATAATTACTGCACATTAAAAGCCTGACCGCCAGTTTCAGAAGAACACTTTGCGTGACGAAGACTTGGTCGTGCAAAGTGTGCAGTAAACACTTTACCTTAAATTGTCACCGACAATTACAAAATCACTTTGCGTGACGAATATTTTGTTTCATCGTGCAAAGGTCCATGGCAGGCCGAAATATTTAGTATTTATTTTCTTTCATCGAAAAAACAGTTTCTCAAAATACTAGCATTGACAAGGTCATCAAACTTTGCAGTTTACTAGCTTTTTCAAGTAGCACAGATTTACCTCGTACTTTGTGCTACTTGAAAAGGCTTATTAACTCTAAAGTTTGATGACCTTATCAATATTAGTATTTTTTTTTATTTTTTTTGTCAAACGATAGATTTTGTTAGATTAACCACCGACAGAGTTCAAACTCACATCGTCATGCAAAAACTCAACTTCTTTCCAATACTATAGTAAGGGGCCACTTGCATCAATACTAGTACTTTGAGAAACTGTTAATAAATACTTGAAGTCTATATTTAATTAATGTTCCTAATACAAATTAAATCAATATTTAAAGATACCGTTCAAAATTAAAATAATGAAACTATTCGTCCATAACATCTAACTAATGTTAGGTTGAATTGAAGAGCACGTTCAATCCTACATGTCAATTATGAATTGAAGATTAGGTGCACGTTTTCTATGGGTAACTAACCGGCTCTTCTAAAGGTAGCACCACAATGCATATGCAAAGTATCTTCACTCAATATATATATCTGTTACCATAACATCCAAAAAGGCAACAAAAAATGGGGGGAACGGAGGTGGAGAGAGTGCAGGCACTGGCTTTGGGCGGGTTGAACCAACTTCCGGCCAAGTTTGTTCGCCCCGCCCATGAGCAGCCTGAGAACAGCAAAGCCTTAGAGGGGGTCTCAGTGCCTGTTATCTCCCTAGCTCAGCCTCATGATGTTGTTGTGAAGAGGGTGGCGGAGGCAGCCACCGAATGGGGTTTTTTTCTCATCACTGACCATGGCATACCGTCGTCTTTGATCCAACAGTTGCAAAAAGTTGGTCAGGAGTTCTTCCTCCTCACTCAGGAGGAAAAGGAGGCCTATGCGAACGACCCTGCGAATGGGAAGTTTGATGGATATGGCACTAAAATGACAAAGAACCATGACGAGAAGGTCGAATGGATCGACTATTTCTTCCATCTTACAGCGCCTCCATCAAAGGTCAACTATGAAATCTGGCCTAAGAACCCTCCATCTTACAGGTATATATCTCTAACTAACAATAATTCATGCACATAAAGCTCAAGATTTGTAACATTTTTTTTGACACTACTCCTTGAAACTAAATTTTCCAAAACTAGATTAACATCCTTTCACAAGATTCAATTTTCAAACAAACCGAGTGTAAGATCTAATATTTAATTTTGATCATTTGACTTTATATTCAACTCAGCAACTTTCCAAATAGGAATTGAAGAATCAATTAATTAAAAGAATTATTTTTGTTTGTTCCTAAATCGCCATTTTCCTATGATTTAGCTAATAAATATTGACTATTAGATCTCTGAGCTTTCATTTTTATTTTGAAACCAATAAAAAAAATTATTTTTATTAAATGTCTATACGAGTTGCACAATTAGGGTTGGCAATTCTAACCATTAAGCCCGATAACCATGGATAACTGCCCGAATGGATTGGGTTTATATATGAAAATTCGGGTATGGTATGGATATGGGGAAAAACAGTGAACTTTATTCGGTTATGGTTTTGGATATGGTTATAGGGGTCCCCAATCTGTATCCGTCCCCGAATCCGACCCGAATATATATATATATATATATATATATATATATTTGATATATAATATAATTTTTTTCAATTTACCGAACCCTCCCTATACTAATTCATTATGCATGCATCAAACCCGTATACTATCTTTATTATGCACCAAACATCATGCATGGGGCATACCAACAACCTCATCAATTCAATACTCTTATTGTTATACTCAACCGAATTAATTCATTGAATCATTTTATATATCAATTATCAAATATTACAAGTTTATCAGATTCATCTCTCTTCAAGAGTCTCACTGTCAAGAAATTGGTGCATATTATCATGAACAACTTCAAATATATTGTTAGTTTTTGTAATTGGATATTGCGATTTAATGATGGAATTAGTATCTACTAAAATTTATAATGTGTCAATTGGATAAATATATATATATTTTTTTTTTACGAAGATGGATATAACCGATAACCGATTGAAAATTTGTTACCCAGTGGATATGGTTATGGATAATCCCCAATGGTTAATTTGTGGTTATGGATATGGTTAATTTTCGTGGTTATGGGGATGGATATAGCATTTCTGTCCCCAAACCGAACCGTTGTCATTCCTATGCACAATCAGGTCTCATTTATGAAAAGCAACATGTCCAACTCACATACGTACTACTCCCTTATATTATCGCTTATCTTTCTCAATTGTATATTCTCATGATTCATATGCTTCTTGCATTATGGAACAACTCAGGTTTGCAAATCTATTTTTTACCTATGAATTGTGTTTATTCATGTATACCAATAGATTGTGTTTATTCATGTATGATAATTTTTTGTCTATGGAGATTGACAAGTACTATCATTTGTGTACTTATATGAAGATACATGGATTAAAGTTTGCATACCGAAATTACGTACATATGCTTATACCCTTATACTTCCGTATCTATGCCTATGCACTTATACTTTCGCACCTATGTTTATGCCCTTATACTTTCGTACATATGCCTACACTTCCGTATCTATGCTTATACACTTATACTTTCGTACCTACGTTTATACCCTTGTACTTCCATACCTATGGTTATGCACTTATACTTCCGTACCTATGCTTATGCACTTATATTTCCGCACCTATGCTTATGCTCTTGTACTTTTGTAGGTTTAGCACTTTGTTAATGTACTTATAATTTTTATGGGTGTTCTTCTTTTTTCTTATGGAGATGGAAATTGTGTTAGTGATGATGTTTTGCTTTTCTTTTGTAATGTATTTTTGTCATTCTTTCACGTTTATATTCACATTTAATCAAAATAAAAAATTTCATTTATTTTCTTGTACCTATTACTACTTTCCAAAAATTTTAAAAATTTAGAATTTTGATTTTAGTGTATTAATGGGTGATTTGAGTGTGAAAGCCAATTTCTAATTTTTAGTCTTAATTATGAATTGAATATGAAAATGTGGATGGCAAGTTTGTAAATAGTATATGTGATAGAGGTAGTTAAATATGACATGGTGTTAAGATTTTAAAATAGAGACTTAAATTGGATAGAGAAAATCATACAAGTCATAGTCTAAAAGTAATCTTATTTAGGCCCTGAAATCTAAAAACCCATTTTCCTAAGTAAAACCCTTCTCTTTTGTTTTCTTGACTAAAACCCAATGACTAGATTCTAACTAAGCAAATTTCTTACGAGTGGTGCCCACCCATCTTATTTTGATTATCGTGAACCTTGTCCAGTATATATATATAGAGAGTGTTTTCTCGTAAAAAAAAATTAAACAAAATTACCCAATAACTCCAAATATCAACAACAGGCAGCAGCCTCCTCTTCTAAAAATTCCTAAAACCGTCACTTCCAACGCCTCCAAATCCTCAGCCCAACCGCAGATTCACTCATAGTTTTGTGCTGCTCTAATTTTTCTCTAACATCAGATTCCTTTAAAGTCTATATCTGGTAAGTATCCAATTGTCCCACAACACCAAATACGATCGGTTTTTAGGTTTTTTTCCTCTTTCTTTAGTTTGAATTCCTAAACTACCCCTAATAATACGTGGATGTGGTTTTTGAGCCTGTTACTTGTTATATCTATTTAACTTTTTGAATTTATTTTACAAAATATTTCATGCAATTCAATGTATTAACTTTCAAATTGTTGTAAGGTGCCGATTGAATCATAATACTACTATTTTCATTCTTTTATGCATTAACTATGCAACTTATTTTTCCTATCAACACAACAATAAACCTAAAATGGCTTTGGCTATTGCATACTTCAATCCCTAATGCACAAAACAAATTAAGCTATGCTCCGCGCAACTTAAACCTACAAAATAGTCTAATATACCTATTCCATCACACCAAAATTTAAAAGGAAAACTAATGAAAATGGCTTGAAAACTTTGAGTTTTAACTATAAGGACAAAAGAAAGGGTGAAGTGAATATTACCAGAATTGATTTTTTAGTGTAAAAATATGGTTTTTTGTTAAAGTAAATAGTACTAGAAGCTTTTCGTTAAAATTCCCAAATTTAAAGGGTGTAATTTACCTACAAAATGGTCTAATATACCTACATGATTTATGTGCATTAGTTTACAAGTTTATTTAGTTTCCTACCATAACAAAGCACAGTATATTATTTAATATTACTATTTTTTAACAGGTACATTAATTTAAATGTAGGTAAATTAGTGTAATATTTTAGATCAGTAGGTAAATTAATTTATTCTATATGCAGGTAAATTAATTAGTATAAAATTTTATAGCAGTAGGTTATGTTATTAGTATTTTGTATATGTATATTTTACAATTAGAAATATGGTGTATATTTCATGTGGGGCTTGTTGCTCAACATAATTATGGTGAGAAATAACATTTATTGACATGATTAGGGTGTTGTGGCACAAGTTGTAAGTCTACATGGATGCTTATTTGAATCTTAGGTTTTATTTGGATGTTTAAATTTAGGTGAGTTTTTATTTAGAAAATAAGAGTTGCAAGGGGTAAAGTATGGCTACACTAGTACTCAAACTTAATTAAGAAATTTACTTAGTTGGAGCCTTGCTAGTCATTGAATTTTTGTTGGGAAAATATATTATGGTGGATTTTAGGTAAAGAAAATTGAATTTCTAAGGATAAACTCACATTTTCAGAAAATTATTTGGGATTTAGTTTTTATGTTTGAGTGTCGGAGAAAGTATATGAAGGGATGGAGAAGAGTGATGGGAGGTGAGGGAGAAGAAATTTCTTCATATACTCCCCTCCATGACATAAGACAAAAATAAAAACTACAAAACAAAAAAAAATCAAATGGTTGTAAAACAGGTTACTTATGCAAACATACCCCGCGTGAGTGCTAGTGTAGCCGTAGTAGCTAAATTTGATGTGTTCTCGCCTATGCATTTGAGTTTTAGTCCTCTCCCTAACTATAGAGTAGCTTAATGTTATCGCTTTTAATTAGAAAAATGACTTTTATACAACGATATAAATTGGGGGAATAGGATTGAGCTGTCTAATGGTTATATGACATTGTAGGGAAGTGAATGACGCATATAACAAGGAAATGCTAAGAGTGACAGACAAGTTACTGGAGGTGCTTTCAGAAGGTCTAGGGCTGGAAAGCAAGGTTCTGAAATCCCATGTGGGAGGTGAAGAAGTGGAACTGGAAATGAAAATCAACATGTACCCACCATGCCCTCAGCCCCAACTAGCCCTTGGAGTTGAGCCTCACACTGACATGTCAGCCCTAACCCTACTTGTCTCGAACAATGTTCCTGGCCTTCAGCTGTGGAAGGATGACAACTGGGTTGCTGTCGACTACCTGCCAAATGCGGTTTTTGTTCACATTGGTGATCAGATGGAGATCTTGAGCAATGGCAAGTACAAGAGTGTTCTCCACAGAAGTTTGGTGAATAAGGAACGTACGCGCATGTCGTGGGCCGTGTTCATTGCTCCTCCACATGAGGCTGTGATCGGACCTCTACAGGAGCTCTTGGACGAGCAAAATCCTGCCAAATACTCGACCAAAACATACGCGGAATACCGACACCGAAAGTTCAACAAGCTCCCACAGTAGGAGTGATTTTATTTCCATTTTCCGTTTTATATTCGAATAATCCCTTCAATGGTGATCATATGTTGTCATCAAGTATAGGTGAGTTGGATTCATTTGCTTTGTCATCAATCTGCATTGTTGTATCATTTGCTCAAGTGTCCATGAATCGTATTTGAGTTCTGTTTCAAACTTTAATTATCATTATATTTTATCCAGTTGTTAGATTCAACATACATGCAATGCCCATCATAGAAAGAGTCACTACAAGGGAAAGAAAAACCCCTTTAACAACATGCTTTGCATGTTGCGGACAGCTATACACAACATGCGAAACATGTTGATCTTAACGTTGTTAAAAGGAAAAGACTCCACCTCACATACCTCTTGGCCATGAGGCCACTGAGGATGAGCATGCTAAGTTTAACATAAAGAAACCAAAAGAGGCAAATAATAGATTACTTTCATTTGGAGTTTATATAGCAAAGGCTATGTACAATACTTTCTCCAACAAACATTAAAAACCTAACCAAAATCATATACATGTAACAAAATGATTGGTTGCCTACACTAATGAAATGTCATGACTTGGCATCTTCATCTGTACACCCCCTCAAGCTGAGCTTGGAAGAACTAGGAGTTCCAAGAGAAAGCTTGGATTGGAGAAAGAGAAATTTGTTCTTAGACAATGACTTGGTGTGGATATAAGCTATTTGGTCCTGGCTATAAACATACAGAACTTTAACCAGATTGGCAAGAACCAGCTCCCTTATAATGTGGAAATCAATTTCTATGTGTTTGGTTCTTGCATGAAAAATTGGATTTGATGCAAGAGAGATGACAAAGATGTTGTCACACCAAACGGTAGGTTTAACAGATAAGGAAAAGCCAAAATCTTTGAAGACTTTACAAATCCATCTAACTTCAACTGCGGTATAAGCCAAGGATCGATATTCAGTCTCAGTAGAAGAACGAGCTACTGTGGGCTACTTTTTAGCACTCCAACTAACTAAGTTGAGCTAAGAAACACAGAGAATTCACTTGTGGATCTTCTCTCAAAAGTGCAGCCAGCCCAGTTTACATAAGAGTAGGCTGAGAGAATGAGATGACTTTGTGAAACCAAATACAATGTGAAGAGGTACCCTTATAAAACCTGAGTATCCTTTTGGCTGCTTGCATATGTAAATCTACTGGAGTATGCATGAATTGGCATACTTCATTGATTGCAAAAGAAATATTAGGCCGAGCCCATGCTAGATACTGTAGGCCTCCCACAGTTACTCTGTTGGCTTTTCCAAAGGTATACCACTATGATCCAATTTTGAAGTACCAAGAGGTGTACAACATGGCTTGGCACCCTCCATTTTTGTCTTCTCTAACAAATCCATAAGATATTTACCATGATGAAGAAAAAGTCCTTCTTTGGTTCTTTGAACTTCGAGACCCAAGAAATAGGCCAGATGACCTAAATCCGCTACTGGAAACATAGAACTTAATTTCTTGATGAACAAGTTATAAACTGATGAATTTGGTCCACTGACCAATATGTCATCCACATGTACATGGACAATAACAAGAACTGGAGCCTTTAGAACAAATAGGGATGCATTTGAGGAGGATTAAGTGAAACTAAGAGACTTGAGAGCTTGAAATAGTTTGTCAAACCATGCCCTTGGGGCATGTTTAAGTCAATACAAGGACTTTTTGAGTTGACACATATGGTTTGGAAAGTTTGGATCACTAAAACCAAGAGGTTGATGCATTACTTATTCTTTCACGTCACCATGAAGAAATGCATTACTTATGACAAGTTAATGCATAAACACTTCTTCTTTCAAGTCACCATGAAGAAATGCATTACTTATGACAAGTTAATGCAGTAACCAATTAAATTGAATAGCAAAGGTCAACAAAATTCTTATAGTAATAGACTTTGCCACATGACTGAAGGTTTCTTGATAGTCCACGCCCTCTTTTGGATGAAATCCCTTAGCAACAAGCCTTGCTTTATATATGTTAATAGTTTCATCAACCTTTATCTTGATTCTAAACACCTACTTACAACCAACAACATTCTTCATCTCAGAATGAACCAAAATCCAAGTTCCGGTGGGATTGGAGAGCATTAAATTCATCTTGCATAGCTGATCTCCACTCAGCATACTTAGAAGCTTGATTAAAGGTTGTTGGTACATAATCAAGAGAAGATGGTAAGGGGTGTTTAGTGGCAGTGTAAGCTTGAGGCGTAAAAATGCCAATCTTGGATTTAGTAACCATATGATGGATGTTGTGGACTTGTAAAACTGAAGAAGAGGAATGAGATTGTAAAATGACTGGAGTTTTGTGGTTGCACAAACTCACTAGAAGCATGTGAAATTGAGGAAGTATCGTTGAAGCTATAGCCTGATAGGATAAGTGGTGAGCTTGAAATTGGAAATTGCAAGTCAATAATAGAAGAAATAGTAGAAGAAGTACTAGGATTAGTTGTGGACTTGGCATCTTGAGACATTTTATGAAATGGAAATGAAGTCTCATCAAATAAGACATGCCTAGAGATATAGACTTTGGCAATTGTAATATCCAAGCACCTATATCCTTGTGCTGCAAACTATATCCAAGAAAGACACACTGCTTGCTTTTACCATCAAGTTTTGAAGTGACATATGGTTTTATACATGGGTAGCAACTACACCCAAAAACCTTTAACCTAGTATAAGCTGAGGATGTATGAAAAAGTAATTCCCATGGAGATTGAACAAGACCAAAAATTGGCAATCTGTTAATCAAATAAAGGGCAGTCAAGAGAGTTTCAACCCAATAAATTTGTGGGATATGAGATGCAACAATTTTCTAGCTGTTTCTACAAGATGACTATGTTTCCTTTCTATACATCAATTTTGTTTAGGTATATGTGGGTAACTGAACTGATGAGAAACACCATTCATTAGGTACTGGTGAATTCACCCCCTAAATCTAAACGTATAGATTCTATTTAAGTACCAACAGATTTTTCCACATATGTCTTTAAAGATACAAAACTACACCTCAAATTTTGTTCTTAAAAGAAAGAACTAGCTATATCTAGTATAATCATCTACTAACAAGTAATATCGAAAACCATTCAGAAGTTATAGGGGTAGGTCCCCATACATGATAATGAAGTAGTGCTAAGCTTTGAGAAGTAGATGAACCAACAAGGTGAAAATGCAGCTTACGATTTTAGCTATAGCACAATCTAAACAAGAAAAATCAACAGAGGATTTACCTTGCAATGCATGTTTATTACCAAAAATCACTTTTCAAAATATATTGGAAAAGGGATAAGGTAATCTATTAATGCCATATCTTTATTAGAGCTTTAATACCGACAAGTGCTGATGATGAAATTGAAGAAAATATACCATTGGAATGAGAGCTTTGCAGAGGATAAAACCCATCTTTAACTTGTCCCCACAAAAGTGTCTTCCCCACAGAACGATCCTTGACAGTGGATATATCAAAATCAAGTGTCAGTGAACATTAATTGTCTTTTAGAAATTGAAAGGCAGACAACAAATTGTGCTTCATTTGATGAACATGAAGAACATTTTTCAATTTAAAAGAGGTGGTAAGAGTATGAAATGAAGTAGAACCATATGATTGATGGACAGACATTTACCCTCACCTATATGGACTTTGTCTTCACCAATGTAAGGAGATGGAGAAGAAATGTTGGAGATATCATTAGTAATGTGTGAAGTTGCTCCAAAGTCAATGAGCCATGAAGGAGAAGGCTTTGGTGTCTAATGTGCACACATTGTAGCAACCTTTGCTCAAGGAATTTTACCAGAGATTTCTAGATTCATACAATCAAAGCAGTCTATGGCTTTATCACTTATATTTCCACAGATCTGGCAAGGAATACAATAACCAAATGAAGAAGAACCACGAGAGTTATGATTGTTAGCACAATTACAACCAAAATTGAGCTGATTAAAGCCAAAATTGTGATTGCCACGATAGTTGCCTTTATTTCCACAATTATTGGAGAATCGATTATTCCTACCATGATTATTGAAACGAGTTTTGAAGTGGTTGATTTTGAGCAACAAAGGCGTGAGGTGGTGTAGGAAGAAAAGGCAGTGGAGCTTGTGCTTAGAAGGCATGAAAAGGTTCAGTGTTTCTAGATGTGGCAGTTTTCTTCCATCGAGTCATTGATAACTCCTTTAATATAAAAAAATAAAAATAAAAATTCCATGTAATTCATCAAGATATGTTGAAGAGAGATGGAGCATAATTGAATCAGTGAATGATTCAAACTCATCAAGAAGTCCAGCAAATGCAGTAGCAATACGATCACGATCTGAAACAGAAACTTCGGCTACAATAAAGGAATCAAAAATTTCCTTGATTTGTTGTAGATAATCAGACATGGATTGTGAGCTTTTTGGATACACTGAAGACGAGAGCAAAGATGATGGATATAAGCATTAAAGCCACCAAAACGCTAGTCGAGTTTAGGCTACAGATCTCTGGACAAAGAAACATCAACAATGAACAGAATTACTTCCTCATAAAGCATTGAATTGAACCAAATAAAAAGATTCTAATTCTTCTCATACAAAGTCTAATATGCAGGGTTAAGTGAATGGCGTCAGACAAAGCTCAATGCCTTCGATGATTCCAAGAAGTTTGTAGCAACGAAGAATCGGGGCGAAGAGTGCACACCATGGCAAGTAATTAGATCACTTGAGTTTCAACAGCACCATGCTACCAATATTTTGAATCATAAGAGAAGTGTGTGATTGCGACAAATTAGGGTTTGAAGAGGAAGAATTGTGATTTGAAATTGGGATTGACACAATCGGAGAAGAGGATTCAGAAGGAGATGCCATCACAGATTAAGATTAAATAAGCAAAAATCTATATCGGAGAAGAACAACAATCAATTTTGTACAAATTTGAGATAAAACTAACAATCAGATATGAGATCGAAGCAAAAGAAAATTGGGATCGAAGAATGTCGTGAGGTGGTGATGATAGATACCATAAAGAAACCAATGGAAGCAAGAATATATTTGTCTAAATATTGCTCTTCTCATTAACTGACTTAATAATTACACTTTCATTTGGAGTATATATAGCACAGGCTATGTACAATACTTTCCTTAACAAACTTTAACAAACCTAACCAAAATCATACGCATGTAACAAAATGATTGGCTGCCTAAACTAAAGA